GGAGGTCCCTGGGCAGACCTCCGTACGTACGGGCGTTCGGGGTCCCGTACGGGGTCCGAACCCGACGGCGTTCGGCCCCCGCCAAAAATTATTTCGTGGCCTAAAGATAATTATTTTTTTCTGAATGTTTTTTTGTGAGTTCTCTATAACGTGAGGTACATGCCTGTAAATTTTCAAGTCATTTGTCTGAGCCAAATAAGAATTAAAAATCGTCAAAGATGTCGGTGTCAAAACATGCTCGCCCACATATTTTTTCACTTTTTACTTTTTGTTTTCACTTTAGTTCGGGGCATAAACAATTTTATTATTTTTTGAAACTTTTTAAGTGGGTTTTTTATTATGTGAAGTACACATCTGTAAATTTTCAGGGCAGTTAGCTATGCCAAAAAAAATGAAAAATCGCCAAAGATGGCGGTGTCGAAAACATGCTCACGAACTCACTAAATTTAAATCTCTTTTTATTTTTATTTATTTTTATTATTACTATTTGTTTTCCGTATTTTATTTTTATTTCAAATTTGGTAAGGAATTCGGAGGTAAGGGTCTCGCTCCACTACTATACACTCTCCAAAATTGGAGAGTTCGGCATCGCTCCACTTACTGTACACTATACACATGCCAAATCGCTTGGATAGCTGTCAGATATCGGTTAGAGATTGCACTCTCCGTCGGTGTGTAGTTCCCAGCCTGCAAAAGTCTTTACTCGGATACTCCTCGAAGGAAACCTCGGACCCGCCCCGTTTTTGTATGGTGAACCTCAAGTCTGGACGGACAAATTGCTGTCTTCTAGTGCTGTTAGGGTGTTGCGTAGTGAACTCAGGAACTGGAGACTTTGTATAGCAGATAGTAAGTGGAGCGACGCCGGGTTCTATACATTTTTTCGTGGTCTGACAGCTATACGGCAACCATACGAAAATGTGTGTAGCGGACGGTAGTGGAGCGAGACCCTAATGCTCGGGCAAATCTTTTTTAATTTATTTTCTCCACAACGTATCTTGTTTTCAGATTTTTTTGATGACTTTTTTTTTTTTTTTTTTTTTTGGGTCCGCGTTCGGCCCGTCCCGAACGCTGGTAACCCTGTATATATATATATATATCGTCAAATAGAACTGCCCGGTAAACCGTAGGCAGAGAGGGAGAAGAGGACAACAAATGAGGGGCTATATATATATATATAGATATATACATATATATATAGATATATATATTTCTTTCGCCAGGCCGGGAAAGTGACCCCGGGCCACTCTGGTAGCCTAGGCGCATTCTCCATTTTGCCGATCCACCGGTTCTCCCAACTGGGTGGTAGGTAGCCCTCATGAACCTGTGCTACTGGTTCCCCCAAAATTAAAACGGCGGGGGTAGCGGTGGTTTAACATTTTCCAAGCAACGTAGTGAACAGAAAATGTGGCGCTGCAGATTCTTCCGCAGCTTGAAGCTGGCAGACCTGTATGTGGCTGGCGCACTGATGCTTAGACGGAGTTGGATGGGTAGAAGGAATCCGCCTCGGGAAGGGCTCGGAGGTAGTGATGGTTTAAGTGGAATGAGTGTAAAGTTCTTTTCCGGATTGTTTTGAAAATAGAAAGGTGGCGAGGGGGCAAGAGGGCGAGAGGGCGTTTAGTAATTCAATAGCTTAAATGTACCCTGCTCATAATTCACCGAAAATTGTTTGCATGAACGATAAATCTGTTCTTCCTCCCAATTGTGACCCACCCTCTTATTCCTCTTCAACTCCCCTCTATTCCCCTACTTATTTGTGCCTCCTAGCCCTTCTTCTGTTCCATCGTATCATTTCCCAGAATGATGAGCCGCCAAACTGTACCTGGTTTTGCGATGGATGCACGATGGATGTATCAAAAGAGCGATAAATTTGTGTTCATGCATGGAGCATACAACCATATATGCTGCATCCATGATCTCACCATACACACATACACGCACACAAACCTGCGCTCACCCACATGCACAAGAGCACGCACACTTGCATGCAAACACACATGCATACTATTCTTCATCTCCTTCTAAGTAGTTTGTATTGTGGACTTCTCATCCCCACTACCGTTCTCTCTTCCTGTGTCCTCCTGTGTCCACCTTGTGGACTTTATATCCCCACTACCATTCTCTCTTCCTGTGTTCTCCTGTGTCCACCTGGGCACCTGTAAGACGTGCCACACAGTCAGTGCCTGTTTGTCGAGAGTGCCGGCAAAACTATTAAGAGGCTCCTGTGTTCGGGATGCCTGTGTGCCACACCGTCTATCTTCGTCAGGGAATATTCCCTGACAAAGATAGACGATCGACAAAGTGACTCACCGACTCTGATGATTACCTGACCCTACAGTCATTTAAGTTGTACTTGTTGTGCAAGTAGGACATGATCTGCTCCTGTCCATGTTGGATGCACAGTGACGGGACGACTCCGACAGTGCTGTGAACCTACAGGCTGTCGAGTTCTAATTTTGATGTAAGTAGGACACGATCTGCTTTGGTCCGTTTTAAACCACCAGTTCTCACGAGCACAAGTCGACAAATCTCTTCCAAGAAGGCAGATGAACTTGCTACCTTCTTCTCCCAAATACAACATAGGGTCATTATAGCTGTATTTAGACTGAAAGATACCCCAGATTCAGATATAATGACCGTAAGCTGTATTCGGCAGAAGACCGTAGTTCTCCTTTTCAAAGTGGCCTGCCGCTTTTGCTGCCGGTCCAGACCCCAATTGGAATGCGCTTAGCGCACATATCGGCAAGCGCACTCAGGCTCCTGCGAACAGGTGGGTTGATGTGTGGACTGATAGGGTGCTGCTCCGCTGCATGGCCGCCCATCCACTTGCCTCGCCCGTCAGTGCTGCTTGCCTGCTTACCTCATGTTGCCTTGCCATTCTGGTGCCTTTTTCTGCGCACTCACCTGCCTTGTTGCCGTGCTGCTCGTCCTGCTTCTTCCTTTGCCCCTATACCTGGCTGCATAGCTTCATGCTCACCTGCTTGCTGTCTTGCTAAGTGGCTTCATTGCTTGCTTTGCCCTGCTGCCATGTTGCCTTGCTTGCTCTGTCCCACCGACATATTGCTTTGCTTGGCCCCGCTGTCAAATTGCCTTGCTTGCTTGCTACTTGCCCTCGCTGCTTGCTTTGCCCCGCTGGCTGGCTTGCTTGCTATTTGGCCTTTCTGCTTGCATTGTCACTTGCCTGCCCGTCCACTCGCAACAGTGCTATTGGGATTCAGCAGACTGTTGAGGGCCCTTGTCTTTTGCTCCCTTACTTGTCTGTCTGGTCATAAAGTTTTGTTAAGTATCTGTGTTGAGGACCCTTGGGGCTTATGCTCAAAAGTGGGATTTAGGCAGTTTTGGTCAAGTATCCAGGCTAGGAAGCATTGGAATCCATCTTTGTGGGAGTTCATGTTAAGTGTGTTAGCTGGGAAGTATGTTGTGTGTGTTAACTGGGGAAAACCATGTCTTCTGAAGCTGCCCACTGCTCTCTCTCTCCATCTCTCTCTCTCTCTCTCTCTCTCTGGAAATGCCCTGCAGCCTTTCTTACTTCCTTTCTTGCCATCCTTTTTTATTTCTTTTTTTTTTTCAATAATTTGGACCATTTCTCAATTTATGCGTGCCATCCTTTCTGGTCATCCTTTTTTTTTTTTTTTTTTTTTTTTTTCAATTGGTGACAACAGAAAGACAACTTAGGTGATTGATTGATGGAGGGGAGGGGAGGGGAGGGTCCAAGAGCATGATCCAAAGACACCTTAGTGACGTCTGTCTTCTACCACATTCTCTGTTCAGATGCGTCCTGAATGAACAGAGTGTGGGAACAAACACTTCGTTCTTGTTTGCACAACGTCTTTCTTGTATTGTATTTGCAATTTTGCATACTCTCAAGTAAACCCCCATGAAGTACCTGCTGCTGCTGCTGCTGCTGCTGCCGTCTACAACGACAATCAAATCTCAAACACACACACTGGCCTCCGCTGCTCACAGGCTTTTGCACAAAGCACTCCTCTCGCCCCTTTTGTTGTTGATGTACCTTACAAAACACACACTACCGTTCTCAGGCAGCGGAGACGGAGGCCGACTCGTCTGTGCACAACCACAACCACAACCACGTTCTTCGGATGAACAGGTACTAGACCCAAACGGCTGGCAGTACCAGCCAAATGTCAAGGAAGACGCTGACCCTCGGTGGTGGTTAACTTCTGGACGCACCGGGGAAATCCACGTGGGCAAAAATAGGCTCGGGGGTAGTTGTGATTCAACCAATGAAAGAGGAGCTGAGGGAGCGAGCTGTGTAACTGCCAGTCCGCCTGCTGGCAGTTCTACTCCCATGCATCAATCACAACATTGTGATTTCTAGGCTAGCTCGCGAGACCTGCAGCTGTCAAAAAAACAAAATTGCTCATCAGTCCTTCTAAGCGCGCAGTCGAGAACCCGATATCTGACCAAGTTACGACCATCCAGGCTCTTGGCAGCAGAGCTGGAAAACTAAACTGTGAAAGTCTTCCACAAATGCATTCTCTCCACATGCGTCAACAAACAGCGAGCGTGAATATGACAAACTGCAGATTCATACTTAAAAACTTTCTGACAGTGGTTTCAGTCCCCACACTCCTGGTGAGTATGGTGCCCTCTGAAGGGGACAAGCAAAAGCAATTCCAATGCCAAAGGCCGGTGACATCATCTTTTGTGAATAAGCAACATCAAAGATAAGACTGCTCGAGCAGGTTCCTGAAGGCCTTGTCGGTTCAAGAAAGGTGTCGGCCACATCGTCCTTCCTCACAAGGTGTCTTTGAAACTACAATAAAGATGCAACTAGGCCCAACAATGCGAGGCACCGTAGCCTCGCCTAGTCGGCGGAGAGAATGAGTGGCATCATGACCAGCATGTCTGCTGAATGCACCCAGAGAGCATGCATACTGCAGAAAAGACACCAAAACAAGCTGCAAGCACCTGTTCTGCACTGTACTAACAACCAAACCTCCCAAGACAACCTGCAGCAATCTGCCGCGTGACCATAGCCATGACACATCGTCAAAAACAGAGTTCGCCTGGCAAAGCATAGGCAGAGAGGGAGGAGAGGAGAGCGAGCAAGCAAGGGGCTGCGACAAACAGTTTCGTCGTCGGAGTTCCACCAAAACTCATCAGGAGGTTTTTCACTCACGCCTTGTTTCCCGACTTCTCCCAAAGGTACACAATGACGAGATTAGCCCTCTTACCCAACCCGCAACCCCTTGTGCTCTCCCACTGTGGCAATCAAACCTCCACAGACAACCTTGTCTTTCTACATTTCCCAAAGGTATGCAATGCTGAGATGATCTATCCCTCCTCCTCCTCGGCCCGCCCCTCCACCCCAACCCGCACCCTCTGTACCCAAGTAGTCAGGATCCCAACAGACTCCTAATTCGCACCCATATTACAATAGCCACACATGAAGAATGGCCCAAAATGCACCCCCCTTCCACACATTCCAGAAGATGGAAGGGCCAAGCAAGAGGGGTTAAATTCTGCGATTCCACCTCATCCCCCC